CTCAGGCACACAAAAGAGTGATGACAGCATGTTCAGCCTGAACAAACAGGGAAACATGGCCATACACGATGCACAACACACATAAAACACATGCAACCAGCATTGCTCTTGAATAAAAGCATCACTAAAGGCTGGCCAAGAATGACTTCTAACAGGTAATCTGTTATTAATCAGAATAATCACATAATATTCAGCAGATTATAGCAGGTTCATTTACACAGATATTATTATTATATATTTTTATTTTGCAGCAGCCTACATAATGTAGCTATTATTTGTTGCACTTCAACTATGATATTAAATATTGTCTACAGTGTAGCTTCAGCAATAATATTGAATGTAATTCAAAATGATAAGAAAGGGACAGTTTAGTGTTTTGTTTGTTTGTTTGCTTGTTTGTATTTTTTTGGGACATCATTGGAGGTTATACATGAAAATATGGCATTCTTAACTCCAAAATACTAAACCATTTAATTAATAGGTGCTGAACAACATAAACGTTAAACTATTATGTAGCACACACACACACACACACACCTTCACACACCAAGTGACTTTTTGCACAATATTCAGTCTTTTGCACATTTCTATTGCAGTGTTGTGTCTGCATCGTTCTGTTCTGTCTGGTGTGGTACTGTCTTTGTTTTGTTTTGTTGCAATTTTTGCGCATTGCACTTTATGTAGTCCTGTGTTGATTGTCTGTTATATGCTATATGTAGCACTGTGGTCTTGGAGGACCGTTGTCTCGTTTCACTGTGTACTGTACACATGGTTGAAATGATGACAATGTTGACAATAAAGCCCATTGACTTGACTTGACTAAATGAGAACTTCGGGACTCAAAGTCCATTTATAAAGTATTTACTATTACAAGGCAGTAAGAAAAAAAATGTAGTATTAAACATTTTACATATACATTTGTGAGTGTTTAAATTCTCACTTACAGTTTGACATTGTATATATTTACAAGCAGAGGCCTGCAATTCAGAATCCAAAGGGGCCACACGAGAAACTGGGACTGTTGTGGAGGGTTGCTTATTCGCCCCCCTCAACAGTCCTAGTTCACACATGGCCCCTTTCGCCCTTGCTTTAAAGTTTAATTTTTCCAAATTAAATACTCAAGCTAGTTATTGGACGCTATGGGGGAAGTGTGTGTGGGGGTTTCCAAAATAAAAGCTCTATGTGAGATTTCTTCTCCAAAATAAAAGCCTAATTTACCTCCTAGAAATTTACCGGGATGTCTTAAAGATGTCAGATATCCAAAAGCAAAGCTTTCTATTTAGCTTTGCTTCATTAAAAAAATAAATTATGTAAATGTTCCGTATCAGTCTTTGCATCGGATTATTTGATAATCAGAAGCAACCGCTCTTGCTTTCCCTCCGACGTCTGTGCGGCTTGAAAAACAAAGGGGCGTGGCCGCCGTTGTTCATCGGGCACGCTTGCGGTTTGGAGGATGGGAGAGAGGACGGCGCTGCAGAGGGAGGGAGCGAGGAGGAGGAGGAGGAACTACGGGTGGAAAAAAAAGTTAAAGTGAAAATGGCTTCCTTGTCTTTGGAGTCCACAGAACAATCTGAGAACAGCACAGGGGAGCCAGCGGGGTCGGAGACCAAAGAAGAGAAAGATCCGCTCCAAATTTCGGAACAACTGCTCCAAAGTTTCCAAAAGTCGGCGCTGAGTTTTTCCACTGACCAGGTCTCATGTCTGTGCGAGGCCCTTCTGCAGGCGGGCAATGTGGATCGCCTGTGGAGATTTCTCTCCACTATACCTCCTTCGTCCGAGCTGCTACGTGGCAACGAGACCCTGCTAAAGGCCCAGGCACTGGTGGCTTTCCACCGGGAGGAATTCAAGGAGCTGTACGCCATCCTGGAAAGCCACAACTTCCACCCGTCTAACCACGGGTTCCTGCAGGACCTGTACCTCAAAGCCCGCTACAAGGAGGCGGAGAGGTCCCGGGGCCGTAGCCTGGGCGCAGTGGACAAGTACCGGCTTAGAAAGAAGTTCCCCCTACCCAAAACCATCTGGGACGGAGAAGAGACCGTGTACTGCTTCAAAGAGAAGTCCCGCAATGCCCTGAAAGAGTGCTACAAGAGCAACAGGTATCCCACTCCGGACGAGAAGAAAAACCTGGCCAAAATCACCGGGCTATCCCTCACGCAGGTCAGCAACTGGTTCAAGAACCGCAGGCAGAGGGACAGGACCCCGTCCGGGACCCACAGCAAAAGGCAAGACCCGCAACACTGGAAACACAATCCAGCTGTTGCCTTTATCTCTGTTTGCGCTCTAAGTTTGGTAGCAAGCAAGGAGTCACAGTCTGAGCGGCAGCAGCTGCTGGTTTTTAGCTGTCCTGTGTTTATCTGAAAGAAGCTTTTTTTATTTACTTTGTCTTTTATAGCGAGGGCTTATCAGAAAAGTCACTGAAAGCAGCACATAAAAGCTTACCAATTAAAAAGCGCGCAGACCTACAGAGGGCTGCCTGCAGGAGTCCATAAATCAGTGTGGCAAAACTCAGAGATGGCACGAAGTAGGAAGATGAACAGGAGGTGACTCCTGACAGCAGCGAGGCCACACATGTCTGACACCAAGAGCATGTTGCTTTGTTATGAAATGTGAGATCTAGGCGCCCACTGTGGCTCAAGTTTCCTGAAACCCTGCACTGCATCCTGCAGAGCCACAGGGTGACAGAGGTTAGGGGAGGAAAGGAGCGTAAACTAAGGCAAAGATGGGAGTGTGGGGGGGGGAGAGGCTGAAATCACAGTTTTAAAATGAAGATTTCTGCAAGCAGTGGGAGGGGCAGTTTGTGAAAAGATAAGAAAGATAAGTTTGCTGTGCTGTATCAAACCCCACGGTCTGGCAGACTGTGTAACGGGCCACCAGGATGCTTTATTTTCACACATTAACCACATATAACCAAATGTGTCCAAGTGATAAGAACATGTTCCACCTTATGTAGAAGTTTTATTATCAATTCATCTTAGTTTCAGTTACATTTTCACAGAGTTTTTGCTCATTTTAGTTTAGTTTCTTTAGAAAAGATTCGGTTAGATTCCGTTTTAAAACTGGGACACGCAACCCATCGTGTCATGCAGACATCCCAGTCTTAAAAAAACAAAGCCCCAGAACCTCCTGATGCATGTTGTGCTGACAAACCTGACCAAAATGACAAAGACTAAAACTTAAAAATTAGGATTAATGTCAGTAAGTAGGTAGGTGATCATACAGCAACTTTTAGCCCCACTTTTTGTGATAATCCTGATGCTGCATTTATAAAGGTTTTTAGAGAGTCCATAACTGACTACTGTATTATAAAGTCTCTAAACAGCACCAATAAGTCGTATTTTTGCCTTAATTCACGGGAACAAAGATCACCAGTAAACATTAGTGTAAATGAGCCTGTTAGCAAATATTTAACCTGCATTCCCTCAGTTGAAACGACAAAGTCGCTGTACAATGCAGACAAATCAAACGTGCAGCTACCTGCTGTGGCGACCTTTTGTTAATAAAGGATCAGCTGAAAGTAGCTTCTTCTAAAGGAGGCATGCCAGAAACGGTTGGAGAACGTCAGCATTAGAAGAACGCTTTGATTATGTTAGGATTTCCGGACAGAATCAAAATGATTTCTGAACCATAAAGTGGAGGCTACTCTCCCTTTAAAATCAAACATCCTGCTGAGGCAAACTTTAAAACTTGCAGGCGTCCTAGTTTTGAATTAGAAATATTTAACATATTTAAGAGTGACAGTATATTGCTGATTGGATGTGCTTTTGGAAAGTGGTTTGCTTTGAGTATGTTTAAAAAAAAAAAACACCAATGTTTTGGCAATATTCTAGTAATATTGAATCTTAAATAATGCATTTATATCAAATTTAACGTTTCACATGATGGTAATGGAAACAGCAGAGTGCAGTTAGAAGAAAAGAGAGTGTTACTTGGTACGATGAACGTTGCTTGCTCAGTCTAATAGATTTGAATCCTGTAATATTGTATACACAGAGCTTAAATTCGATTTTTTTACCATCTGCATGGCGTCATTGTCCCCTCTTGTTCACAAATGGGTCCATTCTATCTTTTATTCCTCGAGCCA